TAGTATCAGCATACAGTTTGCCAGTGCGACTGGAGGAATGTAGCTTTGGTTTGAAGCTCTCTGGTTGTTAGCATAAAATTGATTTATAAATGAAGGCTTATTGAGGGTATGACAGAGCTCACCCATATGGAGAGGAAAGCGCATATTCTTTCAGCAAAGGCCTGGGCTTGCAGCCTCACCTGTTTGCCTCAGCAAGCTTTGAAAGCACACATGGCCCTTTATATGGCAGATTATGCATTATGGGTCTAAAGTTGTAAGCCTCAAGATCAGGTGTCTCTGCTTCCACACACCTAAATCAAATGGCTGAATTACATCCTCCATTTGAAGTCATTCTTTTGCTAAAAACAGAACTGGACTTGACTGGAATTGAAGACCCTTGATCTATGCAAATAGCAGCAATAAAAGGGGGTTTAATAGATAAGAGTTTGACAGGTGTTACCGTCTTCTCTGTGTGCTTCTCTATATGCTTGGAAACCGCACAAATTAGCCAGTTTTAGCAATAGATGTACAACTCTTGTAAAGGTTGTCAGTGATCATTTTAATAACTGTCAGGTAGTATTCTTTTCATTAGTTGTAAGCCATAATCATCAAAACTCCCACCGGAAGTAAATCACTTTGTTTGAAATCCCATTGTAAGTTAAGCTAGTGGACGAGATTGTTTTCCAGTGTTATACTAATTTAATGAGATTCACCAGTATGTGCGTGTTGGAGCTTTCAGATAGCCTGTTATGAATTTGCTCACAAATTCCCTCATTACCTCCCGACTTACACGAGTTGCTGTCTACGGTCGCTGATACTCACTCCCGGAAAAAGCCAATCCCCACTCCCTGAGGTAATAACCTTCCCCTGCCTTCTTCTAATTTTTATCTGCCGCCTGCCAGGCGAGGCCACCCTTGACTAATCATCCTCAGTGTTGAGGTAAGGATGTTTTCTCCTCCTCAACAAGCACTCACAAAGAAAGCAACATAATACTGTTGTCATGGTGTCGCCAAAAACAGAAACACTCTTTGAGGGAGAAGTTTGATTTGACTTCTGCAGCTCAGTGCGAGTCACACAAGCACAACTTCCTTGCCTGCTAGCCCCAGACTCCTACGCTTCCAGGACACATTAGCATAGGATGGACAGGGAGAGACAAAGAAGTTGTTGAATGCTGGAACAACATGCGTGCCTTGTGTACGTACAGCCTGACAGGAGTTTGAATCATGCAAAACAAAGCAGGAAAGAAGAGCTTGATTTCTTCGATTTTCTATGGAACAGCTATGATTTGAAAGACATGCAAAAAGCAGGCAAATATCTAGAAACCAAACACTCCTGAGTGTGTGTGATCTTTGCTCATTGGCCTCCGTTTTTATCTCTGCACCCTTGTGAACATAACAGCACAGTCTCCCTAGGCGACATACCACCCCTCTTCACATTTATTTGTTTGACATTTCTTGAGAATCACACGTTCTCCCTCCCTCCTCCATCACCTCCCCTCCCGTCGGGCCCCGCTCCCCGCAGCCCCCATGAATCATCTGTGATAAAATCAGGGGGTTCCATCAGTTCACCGAAGCCTAACTTTAGGTGTTAGACGCAGACGTGAGGAGCTTTCTGATGCTGTGCACAGGGCTCATGCTGGCTGTGGAGGCTCTGTTGTGAGGGGGGCCACTGCAGCAGACTGCAATGCAGCCATACTCTGCTCTGCCCTGCCACCTGCTGGCCGTTTCTAGATATAGCATGAAGTTGATATAAACTATGTTAATATTAACAGACTTCTACCTCAAAATAAGGTCATCCGAAGTAAGACCTGACGTTGTCCAAATGTTGTTAAACCAAATTACTAAATGAAGTATGTACATTCTTTACTTTTGGTAATATTTATGGTTATAAAGTACTCCTCCTTGAAGTTCTAAAATGATAAATATTCAAACTCATCAAGTCTTTAGCTAAAAGAATTTTAAACATGCATTTTATTTAAGCATTTTGTTTTATTTTCTTTTGAATTAAAATGTCCTTGTTTTTTTTTTTAGAACTTACTTTGAAACTATTTTTTTCTGGGCTTTGTGTATAATAGGCAGTGTAAGAAAACAAGATAACAGAGCAGCTGTAAGGTTTGGTTATATTTTAATGGATTAGTTAGTACCAGGAAGAATAAAAAAAAAATTGCAAATGAAGTTTTGGTAAGGCAGGGTTTTGGTTAATGATACTTTTAACATTTGATATCACCATCAAACTTTAACAGCTGTTCCTCTGAATAACTAGAACCAAATGTTTTTACACTTAACTGGTATTTTGTAGGGGGTGATAAAAACACTTTAGATGAATTGTTTGTTGTTCATATAAGTTGTATTATTCGGCACTGAATATAAAAAAAAAAAAAAAATTAAAAAACGCATTTAATTTAACTTCTAACTTTTGTTAACCAAGTGTGGTAGTCTAACCAATAAGAGGGTTTTACTGCTTTCCATTGTGCTCTAGGACCAGAAGGGTCACAGAAAAGGTCATTAGAATTGGTTAAGCAAAATGAAAATGCAATTTTAAGAAGGATTTTAAAAAAACAGTTGAAAGGAAATTGGAAATGGAGTAACCTTTTTAAATGTCTGATTACGAAAAGGTATTTGTAAGTAGAAGTTTGGTTTTTAAATTTCCATTTAGAAAGGGGATTTGAAAATATTGTTTTCAAATTCCAGTAATTATTAATGGATTCATAAATACAATTTACCATTCTTCTTTAATAATTAAATTTAAACTGTGCAAATAAAAAACTGCTTTTCAAATTAGATTTTAAATTGCATGATTTAAATGTTAACTTTGAAATGGCTGGTTTTCTTTTTTTATTGACTCCCTAGGTCCTCCACATTCATGTGCTGCATAAGGCACTCTACCTTAATGTGTGCACACTAATGACAGGGATCCTGTAGAAAAATTAAAAAAGTAGTCCACCTGTTTCTTTTTTTCATGTTTAACCTAGTTCCTTTTTCAGTGCAGTATTGTGGAATCCTTCCTTGTTGTAGTTCTTTCTTCTGTGTCCAGGGAAGGTTATGAAGTTGTGTCTATATCCTTTCACTGCCAAATACACTCTTCAGATGGTGCTGCAAATAGTGGCTTTGCTAAGATTGTCAGCATCTCTTACTGCATAAAGGGCAATATCTGAGCCCGACACAGAACCTCTGTGTCACTGAAAAGGCATGGCTCTGTTCCTGCAGTGCTGAATTTTGGGACCCATCAGTCTACACAGATACATTCTCAGAAAAGCAAAACTTATGGAGGAGTTAATTGTTGGGGGAAAAATCTAATTTGTGCATTTCTACAATCTCTTCAACACATCAATAGTCTATTAAAGAGCTTCCTGTCAAACTGAGAAGCCGTCTTTAAAAACAGATCAAACAGTAATAATTATAAAATTATAAAGTTATTAATGGTGAAGGCTACCGTAATAATGTTAATAAAATTAAAGTACTTGACTATATAATATTAAATATATGTGGGTTTTTGTATGTAGGCTGATAAAAACTACCACAATATAAAGATAAGGAGACAGGATCCCTGACAAAGCTAATTGGTTTCTGATCGGTGTCACTTTGAGCAGATTCGCCACCAGGATGGAATACTAGCTGAACAGAATGAATTGCCATGGTAACTTAACTGTGCTGTTATGTGGTTTAATAAAACCAGGATGTTCAGAAAATCCCAACTTAATCCATTATCTTGGTTTTGTAAAATAGCCCTCTGGAGTTTTTATTTATTAAATTTTTGCATATTTTGTTTTGTTAAACACAAAACAATATTTTTATATTCTGACCAAAGTTTAAAGGTTCCTGTTAAAGCAAGAGCATTTATTAAAGTCCATATATTGTTTGATCAATATTAAGTTAAAATCAAATGGTTGCTATAGGAACTACTGCTGCTCCTTAATCACTGAGCTTTAAAGATTTAGAGCATCGCCGTTTTGTCCAGCTCGGTCTGACATCCAAATTAATGAGGCTTTTTCTTCGTTCTCTGGTATTTTCAAGGTAACTAAAAATATCTCCTAAAGTTAAAAAATGAGAGTCAGAGTTCACTGAGCCACATCCCGGACCGCCTGTACACAGTAACATCTTTAGGTTGACAGCAAAACAAATTTCAACCAGCAAATTCATTACCCTTAACTCTAGTTGGTCATTTTCTATACGGTCCTCAGACGTCATGTTTGACTTCTGACCAGACACGGCCTCCATTTCCACTTTAGTCAGAGTTATCGGATGTTTGACTTAAGTAAAAAAAAGAAGAAAAAAAAGCAACAAACAGTAGCAAAAAAAAAAAATGTAGATCATGTAATACACATCTAACAGTTAAAATAAAAGAAAATGAAAGTTAAGCTAAAGATAATTATTTTTTTCTACAGAATACTTACAAAATATTTTTTTTGTTTGACTGAATGTGTATTTAAGTGTTGGATTGGTCCAGCCTGAGTCCCAAACGGAATCAGACAGTAGAGGGAGCTGCAGATTAGGATTATGGCAAGGAGGCACTTTAAATCCCAAAGCCTTCATTAAGCTACCAGTGAAAACACCTTTTTATAAAAGGAAAAAGAAAAAAAAAATTAAAACATATGCCTTGCTCAGCAAAAAGGGTAAGCAGTTTGACTTACCACATTTTTATCTGACTCTTCCATTTTATGATTTTATCTTTTGGAAGAAAACAGTCACATTTTAAAACCATAGTTCTTGGTTGAATAATTTTTTTCTTCTAAATCCACGACTAGCAGAAATGTTTGACTAACTGTAAATGTTCATAGATATTAATAGATTTACAATTTCTTTTTAATTGAAAGTTTTTTGGTTTCTGATATCTTTAACTACACAATATTGTAAAGCATTTTTTTATCCCCTGCTGTGACCATTGATCTGATATGCTGATCTCATCTATTCTGGATTAGATTGGGGGAAGTTTCAATTGGAAAAACAGCTAATTTTCAGCATTTGGAAATCTGACTAGCTAAAATTATAAACAACTGTTTGTTTTTCTTTGTGATTTCCCAGCTGGTTCCTGTCCGATGTCCTCAGCCCATACAGTGTGATGTGTCATGGCTCCGTTGCTGAGTGGTGTGCGGTGGCTGTCGGAGGCGGGAGCGGTCGGGTTTGGGACGGCAGCAGCCAGCGGCACGGCATCATGGCCGCAGAGTGAGCAGCTGGTGTGGGTCGTGGCCCTCAGCATCGTCACTGGCGTGCTGCTGCTCTCTGTGCTGCTGGGGCTGTGTGCCAGCTGCCGGGGGTGAGCTGCATCACACACACCGACATGAGCATAACCACTAAAGGCCCTAAATATGTTAAATGTTTTATTTTATTATAAAATACAACTTTTTTTTGTTTTTACCAGGTTAACAAGACTAGTAGGACTGAAAACAGGGAATTTTTAGCCTTACATTTTTGCTTTATATTGCATCTTTTAACTATTACATGCTTTTTTGTATAGGCATTAGTTTACAGGAAGTATGTTTCATATACTAAGAGTTTATTTATATAAATGTTTCACCAATAGTTATTAAAATTTGCATACTTTTTAAGAAAAAAAACAGTGATGTTGTTTTGTCAGTGTAATTGGCCCTTTAACGGCCTTAATTGAACAAATATGCACCTTTGGAAACAAACTGCTGTCCACCATAGCAGCAGTTCCCCCTAGTGGAAGCAACTCAGAAACACATAACCTTGCAAAGCTTATTCATGAATGTTATTGATATCTGCAAGATGTTAAAAGTAGTAGGGGTGTAAATCACCAGCTTTATAAGAATACAATATATAGTGATAATTGTTTGGTTAATGATATGTTGTTTCCCCGTATGACAGAATCTGTCTTGATATGATTTCTATTTAATTAAGTTTGCAAGTCAAGGATCAATATAATTCAATGTCATATGGCCATCTGACAAAATCATTCACATGTATATCACAACGCGGTCGAATTAAAAATGGCAGTGATCCTAATAAATAAAACAAAATAAATGATCATCTGTTCTCATTCTGACTGTGAAGCTGGAGATGGTGTAGCCTAAAGGTGAACATGTAGATAATTTCATTTTTGCATATGAACCATTAACTATTTAATCAACATATTGAAATGATCAATTTATTATAAACCACTACCGCCCTGCCATTGTGCCTGAGCCAAACCCAGTAGAGCAACATAAGAAACACTGCAGTCAATAGTGCAGCTATGCTCTATACCTCTCTATACCAGCTATACCTCCATGAAAGCAAGCTGGACTTCCTGACCACCTTAGCAGAACCACAGTAGCCTTCTGGTTCCCTGAGCTGCTATAATGAATCAACATTTTTGGATAAAACTTTGATTTATTGAGTTGCACCCATACTCTTTCTGTCTATCCCTCCTTTCTATATGTGTCTAGTTTAATTTGTGTATTATTTTCTATCCTTCTGTTATTGTAAATTTAACGTGTTTGCTATCAAAGCCTCTCCCTGCCCGACAGAAGCCCAGAGGCTTTGTTTAAAAAAAAAAAAACTATTGGCAGGTCTGTTGCACTGGATTGCATCAGATTGCACCAGTGGAACTTTCAAAACGAACAAAGAGTGTTTTTGTTTTTTTTATACCTGAAGGACAAAGTCTTCCTGGTCAGCAGTGTGCACATACGAGGTTGATCCTTTTTAGGCTGTATCGAAGATTTGATCAGGTGTTATAGTAAAAAACAACAAAAAAAGAACCAGATCTTGATCAGTTCGTTTTCTTTTATTATTTCCTTTTAACTTATCTCTTTATTATTCTTTCCTTAAGGCAGAAGAAAGCAAAAGATGGACAGCCTACAGGAGACCAAGAAAACCTTGTTAATGGAGTAAGTGAGATCTATGCATTTTAGAAAAAACAGTACTATGCATAAACTGTTATTCTAAGGAGGGCTGCATGACACAAATATCAGATAGTTAATTCTGGTCTCAATTTTAATCCACGTGATTGTAACATTTATTTATTTATTTTTTTTTGGGCCATTATCCCTTTTCCCCTCATCCTTTACAGTTTGGTATCAACACAGAAATTTTATGTTCACTTTGTGTAGCTTTGCTTTTTCTCAGGTTTGACCTTTTATATATTCAGCCAATGATCAATGCATATTAATACTTAGTCAATATTTCACTTTAATAAGACTCATGGACAAAAGCTCAGAGCCCGGTTTGGTTTAAACCTCATTACAAAGACAGAAGTAGAACCAAAGCTTATTCAGGAACCAGGTGTACTTTCTAGTGAATAAAACCATATTGAATACTTCAACTGTGCCTTCATTGAGTGATGACACTTAGCAAGGACTACTTTCTGTGGGAAAATCAGCTAATTCTCCAGTGGCCTCTTCTCAGAAAGAGACACAGCTAAACATTGAAAATCTGAGATAGGAATAATCTTTATAGGTATAAATAACTAAATAAGAAAAGGTTGCAATTAAAAGCTTTGTTCATGGCAAAATCGTTTAAGAGATGTGTCTGTTTGTAAACAATGGATGACAAGTACTTTCTATGGGTTGGGAAGAACACTAAGTTTATGGCCATGTTAAACTTTGATTGGCTCTCTCCAAGAAAGAGCTGCTGCTTAACTCTGGCTCTCTAATTAGTAGTTTCAAAAGGACGAGGAATCAGGGTGAGAATCTCTCTTCTTCAAAGGTATGAAGAGCTAAGATTTCCAGATCAGATATTTTACTCTTGATGCTGTTTTGTTTAATAAAATTACTGTAATTCAGCTCAGTGAGCCAAAAGGACTATATATCGAGGTGACCTCACAGATTTTCACTTCTATTAATGACACCCTGTCCTCTACATCACAATCCATACTTCCACAACCTGAACACAATGAAATCCAGCAAATGTCCACCTTTTACAGCCTGAATGACATCCTCTTGGTCTCTTTCTGTATCACATAATTGATGGCTGTGTTATTGTCCCTCTGTCTGTCGCAGACACTCCGGGTGATTTCCCAATTTGATTCTCTTCTCTCTAACCCAGTGCACATAATTTGCTGACTTGCCAGATTGTCATAAGAGCTGCCCATTTGTATGTTGGACCGTGTCAAAGCCTGGCAGAGTAAATGGGGGTCTTTGTCTATGAGCATAAGTAATGTGCTTTTCCTCCCTCACCTGCAGTGTGTCCGCATTAGTCTATCTTATGCCTCCTTATTATTTGCTTTGTATTTAGACTCAATAATAACATATTTAGCACGATTTCGCATGAATTTGTTTGTGCAGAATAAAAAAACACACATCATGAAGTTGCAGATATTCACCCAAAGATAATGCTTGATGACGACATATTTGACATGTTGCTGCTTATCACATTTTTTTTTATGATTAGCAGAAAGCGCGATCACTGAAAGGTGTGATTGTTTCTTTTGTTTAATAGACACCAAACAATGGCCAGACAATAATAAGGTTATAAAACAGTTAAAACATTACATCATTGAAAACAGCAGCTATGAGAGTGTATGACCACTAGGGGGGGTTGTAGAGCTGCTGATGCACCATTCTCCAATATGCAGCATGAAAACAACAACCTAAACAAAGAACCTTCCTGGCTCACACCTTTAGGGAGGTTTTCAGATTTTCTGAACTCTATAACAGAGTGAAGATTTTGACACATGAATTAGAGAGTTCTGTTAACTGCATGTTTACAGATGTCCTCTCTGTTTTTAAAAAAGTATGCAGCACATCCTCTGTTACCTGGTGTACTCTTCTCCTGTAATTTGGGATTATGAATGGTGGAGATTAATTTTAGCAGCAGTTCTGACTTCAATTTTGTTTTTAAAAGCTTGCATGATGTTACTATGAGTTTGCAGTGCTTAGGTGAAGGGACTGGAGCGTCCTTGTGCAAGACTGACAAGCTGCCAGCTGCAGAGGTGTTGCTCAGAGTCCCTGAGGTTTTTGTGGAGGGAAGTTTGGTAAAAACAAGCCAACAGATTTTAGTGTGGTTTACCCTCCTTGGATGAACTTTGCTTCTTTTCTTGACTCAGTGTTGCTGTCTTCAGTTCAGCTTAGGTCATAAACATGAAATGAAATATGTCTATCTGACAGTTTATTTACGTTTATTCAAGGAAATTTCAACACTCTGTAGTATCATAATGTGAGTCAAAAACATGTAGCACGCCTGATTTAGTTCGCATTTTCCTTTGTTGTTTATGCATACTGAAATTGCTAGCTATCTATTAAAGTCTTTCCTTGGTAATCAAGAAAAACTGATATTTAATCAGGCATGAATAATGTTTAGATAATGAACTTAAAGTAGTGTGACCAGAATAGCTCAGGGAAGAAGAGATAAAAGAGGGTGGGAAGCAGGAAAAAAAATGGGCTGGTGCTGCAGATATGAGAAAATTATACAAAAAAAAGATGAAGAACCTTCTTTACATTATACATGCTTCTTTTGATTCTGCTTTGCACTGAGGTTTGAGAGTGACCCGTTCTGTCCAAGCGTGGACGAGCACTGACTGGTTTTAGCTCCGTGGCGAGGTGAGCTCTCCCTGCAATGACAATCATCTCATCCTTTGTTGTGCAGGTGTCAGAGAGGGAGATGATCAGCCAATCAGCAGACAGTCCAGTGACTGACGCGGCAGTCAGCAGCTCTCACAACGGTCCTCTAACCAGCGGTACAAGTAAGCAGAGACATGTAGCCTCAACATGAAGTCATGACACAAAGGGAAAACTCTCACAAAGTGTTTGCGGGGAAAATAACCTCTCTGGTTGGACCTGAAGGATTTGCTGCAAGCATCTTAGTTGCATATGTATAAGCATACCTTTCAGTGGTTGTTTAGAGTCCATGTCCTGAGGGGTCAGTAGTTTCTCTTGATGCATGACAGCAAAGAGAAATAAATCCTGTTTGCAACAGAACCAAAATATATTTTTGTCTCAATCAACAGTCCTCTCAGACACGCAGGACACCAGCCCTCAGTTGTCAGAGGATCTCCTCTCCAGCCAATCAGAGCTCAGGTCCTCTAAATGTCCTCAGGACAGAGAGCTTCCCAGTCTCCCTCCTGGCAGTGGCCCTACGGAGGACAGACCCCCCGCCTCAGGAGACAGCACCTATGAGGTCAGCGTTTAAAGTCACCTTACCTCCTGTTTTTACTACGTTTAAATGAAACTTTCATTGTAAGACTGGTATGGTCAATAAAATGATGTCACAGTGAGAAACCAGAAGATTTCTTGTTGCTCTGTAACTTGCAAAGCAAAGTGATGAGTCTGTGTGGTACCCAGGTGGTGAAGGAGATTGAGGTGGCGTCTCGAGACGTCAGCGTTGAGGACTCTCTGTATGAGACAGTCAAGGAGATGAAAGACGTCTCCCTGCAATCCTCCCTCGCCAACGGTGGCATCCAGCCGAGCCCCAATGAACCTCCACCTCAGGCCCCTGCCCTTGTCAACGGCCACCCCAGCCCCTGCACCCCAGAGCGAGGCCCGCTGTGCGAGGGGGTGGAGTACGCCTCCGTGGACCTGCGAAAGAAGAGCCGTCACAGCGCTGACATGGAGGCCAAAAGGTGCTCCGATAATGCTGCCGCTGTCTCACAAAAGCCTGCAGACGAGCCAGAAGAAGAGTCGCCACCGCCAGTACCAATGAAGGTCCTGGATGAAAACGACAATCAGCCACTGGTGTTGAATGGTGGGGAGGGGGCTGGGCTGCACAACGGAGAGGTAAGGAATGCATTTGACATCTGTAGATTTTTACTAAACACCACAAATGGCTGTTTTTTATGGGAATTTCAACACAAGACAAGTAGCCTTTATTTGGTTAAATACTAAAAATGCACACTTTTAATCTTTTTTTAGTTTTTATCTTTTTTTAAGAGCGACTTGGATCGTTTGTGTTTCCACTACACATAAAATTCAAAAATGTTTGTATTTATCTGGGTAAAACACTACATCAAGCTAAATGACTTAGACTTAGACAAACTTTGTTGTCATTTTGTATACAAACAGTTTATACAATACAAAATTTAGTTTATGCAGCTTTCTGACAGTGAATGAGCAGCAGCTTAGCAGTGAAAGTGAACATTTTCATTTATAAAGTGCAGCAGTGATCAAAATGTAAACATTGTGCAAACAACATGTAGAATTGATGTGGAAGGTTCAGAGCAGTGCAAAAGTTAAGTAGTGACATGTTGAAGATTCACCATGCAGTGCAAGTGTGATGTTATCAGTGTGATGCACAGTCTAGAATTTTCAGCAGTTCTCTTATGGCAGCGGGGAAAAAGCTGTTACCGAACCTGCTAGTCCTGCATTGAATGCTGCGAAGCCTCTTCCCAGTGGGGGTGTCCGTTTGGACTTGATTTCTTAGGGGTATCGTAGTTGCGGAACAACCCCAAATGCTTGCAAAAATATTTTCTTAAAATTTGCTTCAATGCATTACTTCCATTTTACATCCTAACCAATAAAATGCATTAACATTTAGCTTGTGGTTGAAGTCTAACTAAACCTGAAAAATAAAAACATTAAACCCAAATATCCTTCAGGAAGGCCATCAGAAAGCTTCTATGGCACAAAGAGGGAAAAATGTTGATAATGTCGAATGAAAGATGGAGGAGAGGACTGCAAGTAGGAGCTGGAGTTAGAAAAGCCAGAGAAGATAGATGAAATAGAGATGGTGATGGTGAGATTGACTCAAAAAAGTAGTGAAAGGACTGGAAGGCATTAAGGAGAAAGAGTCAAGGGTTTGGGGTTATAGATGGTAAGATAGAAGGGGGAGTGAAATAGGGAAGGCCAGCAGCATACAGATGAAGCCCTCTGTAGCAAAGAGTGAAAAGTAGTGTAAGATGGGATGATAAGGAAGAAATGGCTCTGAAGAGGAGAAAGGATGAGAGCAAGAGATGTGATGTGAAGAGATGGGAATGATTGAAGAGGTTAAAACTGATGAACACCTCTAGTAGAGCTGCACTCAGCAAGCTTGCTTTGACGCTCTGGCTACATATCATTTTAAGAAGCAGATCATAGCAAAGCTGCTACTCTGATTTCTAAAGTTAGTTCTATTTTCTGTCATTTGCATTTCCCTCCCTTTCTGCTGATTAAATATCAGTTTCTCGTAGTAGTCTCTAGAAAAAATAAATAAAAAAAAACATTTGTTAGTTGCAGGTTTAGTTTTTATACTAAACTTCATTACTTCAGCAAGGGTGCATCAAACTTATGTTTTTTAATGGAAACCAAACACAACCCACATCTGTTCCAACACCAAAACAGATCTGAATGAAACTGGGATACATTTAATAAAAAAAAAAGGATATTATTGTTGTGCACTTATTAAAAAAAGTAATAGTATCTCAATATATTGCAGCATAGGGTTATGTGAAAAACTATTTTGCATACAGTATAACTGGGTCGGTCATGGTAGTTTATTGCATGAGTGTGAATGTCAATATTTAGAAATGTTTATCAATTATTTTCTACAAGATGTTTTTTTTTTGTCTAATGTTGGAGAATAGGACTTAAAACTGTTACAAAATAAGTTACAAAGTGGTATTAAATCTGTTGTCAAGTTGTGGACAGAGGCAGAAAAACACTTTTCTAAAACATGTTAAAACATTTGGTGCAGCATGTTTTTAGGTACATATTTAAGCCCACAAAAAATAATGCTTTACATGCAGTTTGACTTGTACTGTTTGATACAGTGATCGTTTGAAGCTGTTTGTTAGACATACTCTGTAGGTGTTTTCTCCCTTTCCTTTCACTCCTGCAGAGAGGTGGGAAACATCACACTAATCAGGGATATGGAGGGCTGTCATCTAATATAATTTATCCACTGAAGATCTGAAATGTGTCAAAAAAACAGCCTGAGCTTTAGTTGTTTTCAGCAAAAAACGTAGTGAGGGTCTAAATGAAAGTCCCAACTTCAAGGCTTAAAATTACAGTTTTGTTTTTTTTTGCTCTTTATAGGATTCTTTCTTTCAATTTACGCAACTGCGGAAAAAATAGAGTTTGAATCTTTTATGCCTTGTATCTATCCACATATCCTCACCTATATAATAAAGTTCAGCTGTTTGTAAACCTTTTTTTCCTAGCTTGCTGCTCTTCTGTTTATTTTTTCTGCAGTAGCCTATTTGTTGCGGGAACAATAATACCCCTCCTGACCCCTACGCCGGGGATAAATCCTGATCCAGCAAGCTTCTGCTTATTTACACTTTTCAGTATAGCTCCACAGACTTTCACATACACGCATACCTAAGAATGTGTTCTTTCAACCAGCAGCAAACAAATGTATTCTGCTACACGTGTCTTTTTGTCCTTCCACCATTTCCAATATCACACAGTCTGATAATATCACACAGTTTGTTTACTTATATTCTGCAGCACTGGGGGCTGGGGGGGTTCCTCCCTCGTGTTAGGTTAACAAGGAGTGTTTGCCGCTCCCTGCGGTTTCCACCCATGTATGAGCAGGAGCTGCCTGCCATTTGTCTTGCCCCAACCAAGTATTTGTATATCTGTGTGTGTGTGTGTGTTGGGGATCACCAGCTGGACCCCGTCACTGTCACTTACCCAGACTTCATGATGGATGATGTGGGACATAGAAAGTCCTTATCTGTCTGGGGCCTCTTAAATACAGACACATTGACACACAAATCATCTGTGCAAACATTGAGACGTCTGGATGTAAATATATTAGAGAAGCCCCCCCCCCCCCATCAGGTGGCTGCTCTTTAACACAGAAACAGGCTGACTTATGGTGCCAACCGCAATGAGAAGGGGGCTGTCCGCAACGCCTTGAGTTGAAGGTTCTTGGATGTTGGTGGTGTAAAAGGCCTGATTGGCTGGAACGGAAATTGGCCGTTAACAGAAGTCTATAGAGGAAGGAAGCACCAATGAATTCCTCCGTACTTGTAGAGCTTCACTGGGCTTAGAGTCTTCCATTGATGAATATATCAAGTCTATCCTAACCTCTTCCAGTTAGAAAAATATGATTTTAGACGACAAAGATGTTTAAAGGGTAGAATAAAATACAAACTAGTCGTTTTGTTTCTTGGCCTTTGCCTCTCTTTCTGCATTTAACAGGAAACTAGAAAGTTGGAGTGAAGTAATCTCAGAGTTCACAGCATTTTGGTCTCTCTTTACTGAAAGTTGGAAAGCTAGTATTCTTCGTCCCTATATATGGACACTATTTTTGCATTTAAACATGTAAACGTGATTAAATATCTCATCCTGTAAGCACTGGAAAGTGTTCCTTTATGTATAACTAATGGTTGGTTTATGCTTGATGCATCCACCTTCAGAGCGTTGCCTACATTGTTTGCAGCTATGTAATCTCTGCATGACTTTTCCCCACTGTAGCTAATATTCTGAGGGGGCCGTGTAGGCCGCAGACTGCAGCATATGTAGAAGCAGAAAACAGTTTGTTTGTTCCCAACATTTTCAATGCATCTTCGTGTCATCCATCAGCGATAGTCAACTCATTTCTTTCCAAAATTTGTTGATAAAATAAAAAAAATAAAAAATGTTAAGATATCAGTAGATGTTTATGTTTGCAAATCCACACCAGTAGATGCTATTGATCAAGCACAATGTTTTTCTGCACAAATATGTCCTTATAGTTATGAATATTTCTTGGTGTGCGTTCTGGAAGGGTTGACGCCGTGCAGTGGGGTGTGGCCTTTTAAATGCTTTTAAAAGCATAAACTAACCTTTAAGGTTTTGTGAGTAACATAAAAAGATTCTTTTGTTTATGCGAAAAGCAATCAGCTTAAATGCTGATGTCAGGTATGGTCATGTTGTTCACAACACCACAGAGACATATACACATACTGACACCTGGGAACAATTTAGAGAAGCCAGTTAACCTTACAGTCATGTTTTTAGACTGTGGGAGGAAGCCGGAATACCCAGAGAGAACCCATCCATGCATGCACAGGTAGAACATGCAAACCCCATGCACAAAGACCCTGGGCCCGGGAATCAAACCTGGAACCTTCCTTCTGCAAGGCGAAATTACAAACTGCACCACCGTGGAGTGTTCAGACCTTCAGATTAATTATTGTGACTTTTGTGGGCCATTCCTGTTGAAATTTTCAAAGTAGAGGTTGGAAATTCCAAACAAACCATTAATCCCATCTTGTTCCCATTTTATGATAGTTTGTTTAATACATCGTTCAAGGGCTAAACTATTTTGCCCAAATCTACATTTTGATTATTTGTAACCAATATTCCAATTTTATTTAAACTTTCCTTTGCACTAACGACAAGCTGAGCGATGTTTCAGAATTTTCATGACCTTGAAAGCTTGCTTGTCCAGATTCCAATGTTGCACGGCTTTACTGTAAAAAGTGCTTACTTCTACTATCATGCATGGCTCTGCCTACTAGCTGCAACTCTGTCTACCTTTCTATGTGGCAGCAAACACACTTTAACTGTATAACCGCCATTGAAAGGACTGCAGTAAGAAATTTGGTGTCTTACTTTTGTTAAATGCAATGTGACAAAAATTGTCAGCCTCTGCAATTTGAAAACTGCATTTTACTAAATTGTGATTATATTGCAAATACAATTAATTTACCAGCCCTATTTTGTTGTTTTTAAATGCTAAATTAAGACTCAATAAATATATTAATATTTTTTAATCTTTACACCAATTTTAGTAATTACTATTTTACACCAACATTATTATCAAAATAATGTAGCAAAATGAAAGAAGCTAACTAGAGTCTGTAATTATCCTTTGTAGATAAATGTACAAAATTAAAGGGAGATTGTTTTCTTAACCTTTCAATAGATGTTTGCCATTCCAGTAAAAAAAAACGAAAAGAAAAAAAGAGTTAAACTTGTAGGGCATTACATCATATATATATATATTTATTATTTTCTGCACACACTAAGATATTCACTACTTAACTTGGTGGAAAAAAAACACCCAAGCACCTCAAGTCCCTGTAAAGCTGTGAAGGTGAGCTTTTATTGAACTGTCATATACAGCAGCAGCAATGCATGTTTGCAGTCGTTTAGTGCCTGTGGGCTCTTAACGCGAGAGGCAGGAAATGAATTTGACCCTGCTGGTGGGCTGCTGGGTTATACATTTGGGATGTAGACCAGGAAAACAGTGCTCTACTCATCACTCAACACGGCAGTGGACCTGTCGCTAAAGGGAATCATTCCAACACAAATTTGCTGGACGATATAACCCATGCTTTTTGCATTACTTCAAATTTCTTTAGTTGTTTTAGTTGCTGAGTGACCACAGGCACGCTACATATCCCAGCTAATATGCTCAAACTGACGGATGTATGCATCTGTCGACGTGGACGTCGCTTGTGACTGACATGCTGACACCTGAGCCGTCCATCTACTGAGACGGCTGTAATCCGCTTAGCGTGCAGTCTTTCCTGCACGCCCTGCATGTTATTAAATCTCCTGTACGTGCCTGCAACATCAACACACACTCCTAATCTGCTCTCACTTACAAACAAGCAAGCTTATTGTTGGACGTCAAAATATTAATCTGTCGGTTGGTTACGTCTAGTTTTGGATCGACCAAAGACAAACATCCATCGCCATGGTTTTCTGGTTATTTCATATATAGGAAATCCCATTTTTATAGCGCTTGTTCTCTTGCCCTCATGTTGAAAATCCATAATGAAAGTCGCTTTTATTTCCAGACTAAATTCCCCCTTTAATTAGGATAAAGTTTTGAGGCTATATTTTATTCTGAGACACACTTCAAGGCTGCACCGACTGGGCTAAAAGTCACCTGCATCCTTGTTTTTCTACAAATATCCCCCCAGGGGGCATTCTGCCTAATTGGCTGGCTAATTAAAGTGAAATGATAAAAGAGTCTTCCGCGTTGTCGAGCTCAGGTCGGATCTATAAAAGTAATCATGTCTCCAAATACGCGCCATCCATAAAGTAGTCATATTGATTTTCACGCTCTGAGGAAGAAACACGTGAAGAAACAGAGACATACAGCTGGGTTGGACAGCTTGATGGATGAACTCTGTGCTGGTTTTTATCCTGTATTCTACAGTGTGGTTTGCGCAAAGAGGCAGACTTAACTAAAACAAAGAGCTGCACCTTGGCATCCATCAACCTTGACCTTGGGAACTCCAACCGTAGACGTGATTCAAATTTCTGCCCGTGCATCGAGTTGGATGAAGCAGTTTTTCTTTTTCTTTCCACATGATGTAAACCGCTTAGTGAGTGCCGGTGGGTATATTGAGATCCTCGTTAGACTTTTGAAGTGCTTTGTCTGATGAGTTTTGTTGATTAATGGCTGCCTCATCGATCATCAGACAAAGTGGACAGAGGCCGAGCAGAAAAAGCATCCCTTTCCCCGTCACTCTCTATCGACTTTGGCTCGATAATTTTTTTAATGAATGGGTGGTTATGTACAACATTCACTTTGAATGTATCGCAGCAGATGCTGAACATGTTTCCCCTTGTGCCAGCGGGGATAGTTTTGAATTTCACCATCGATCGGCTGAGGAGCGTTCCAAGGCATTCATACAGGTTTTTTTTTTTTGTTTTTTTTAACAGAGTATGCATTTTTGAGACGCAGTCGATATCTTGATGGCATGTTTTATTAATACAGCTCAATAAGAAGTGCAACTCTTCCGTAATTGTCTTCCATTGCTGTTGTTTAGAAAGTCTTAGTTGGCTTTTTTTGTTAAGAGTCTGTTGCTTTTAATCCTCTTTAAGGAGGCTGTGGATCAATTCGCTCTTTTTCCAGGTCCTACCCGTGTTGTGGATCCACATATTTTATTTTTACTTTCTTTTCTTTTGTCTCTTGAAAAGAAAAAATCTTACCCATGTTTACCCAGTTATTTAGGGGAAATTAATAAAGAAAAAAATCATAAAAATCCTCAAATTTCAAAGCATTTTTTTTTTTTGTAGGAACATGTTGCCTACAGAAAACCATCGATGTGTCGCTTAATAAAGTCAACCCTTAAAAGGCTCTGGAGCCACACTTCTGGATGGACTCTTCTCCTTCCTTTGCTTTCACATCTAAATCTTTTTTTCTGTGTTGTTCCACAGTTAGAATCCCCTGTGTCTCCTCCGCCGGAGTTTGGAGATCATCCACAGTCCGATAACGCTGTAAGTCTGTACAACTCTCTTTGTCCCAAGCCTGCCTTTTTTCAGTTCTAAGACAGCAGCACAGTATGTTTTTTTTATTCGAAAGTCAAATGTGGCTTTTTTATTTTACTTTCCTGTAGATAACAGTTGTTGATTTTTGAAATTTGACATGAAAAACAGCAAAAAAAAAAATGTGTTTCTCCAGAAAGTGTAGCTAAAATATGATTTTATTTAAGGATCTTTGATAACAATTACATTGTCACATGAACTGTGGTGGTTCTAGACCAAATTTACCAAGGGGGGCAAAGTGAGGTTAGTGGTTTTTCAAAAGAATAAATCCAAAAACAGTTAATCATTTAAGTTTAAGGAAACCAAAAGGCAAGTCAAGGCAAGGCAAATTTATTTGTAAAGCACAATTCAGTACAAAGACAATGCAAAGTGCTTTACATGATTAAAATATAGGAAAATAAAACAGAATCAAAGCGAATAGAAAAAAAAATGCAGAAAGAAAAAAGAATATTAAGAGCTATAATCTGCTTTAAGATTCTTAGACATAGCAGATAAAAGAATATGATCGTATCTTAATAACACCAAAGCTAAAAGTGCAACAGTTGAATTTTTGCATCATCGTTTATTAGTTGTGGTTTCTGTGTCAGTGGATGTCATTGTTTATTTAACATAAATTATTATGTGTTATGTCTTTAGTAAAGGGACCATGACAGGGGGACATGGCCAGTTTTTTGTTTTTTTTTAACAGTGTCCTGTCTGGCAATGTGGCAACAAGAATAATTGTCTTGATGCCAAAAAGAGCCCAACAGATTTTACTTTCACAAGTGGAGCAGTACGGCTATGGCCATAGTGTTCCGCTTGTTTCATGCATATAAATTGCTTTATTATAATTATGCAGGGAGTATTATAGATTATATGGACACTGCAATGTAAATAGAACAGAAGAGGAAAAACAGAAAAGAAGGAGAAAAGATGAAATAAAGAGGAGATAGAAGGGAGATAATGATAAAACATTGTCAGTCTGCTTCATCACCTGCAACAAGATGTAATAAGAACAGCACAACCAACGGATATGGTACGAGACATACAATAAAGTAACACCTTGAATTTATTGCTGAAGTAATATTATTTAGTCTGACATGTACTCTGTGTTACCTGAAGATAAGAATGTGGGCTTTCTGTATGGAAGTGAATCTCTGAGTACCTGGAATCAAGCACCTGTAGTTGTTTGTGAGAGTGCAATTGTGCATATAAAGTTTATCCAAAGAAAAAATGCTCAATAGTGGTTGTGGAGAGCCGTGTTTTAGAACATGGCCAGTTCTAAAAAGGGCACTGGCCACCCTTTTCCCCTGCTTAGAGTCGGCCATGCTCATGAGTGCGATGTCATGCAAACCTCTATTATGTCCTGTGTGATGTGTTTATTGTTTCTTCTTTGTCCATGTTTCAGTCCCAGCTATACTCTACTGTTAACAAGCCAAACTGCGACCAGGCCATTAACGAGGAAGACAAAGAGCACGACTACAGCAGCATCGCCGAGCTCAAAGGTCTGGTCCCGGCCTCGTCCTCAAGCGACCTCTACGCCACCGTCCACGACCTATACGCTCAACCTGACGACCCCCAAACAGGCGAAATGCCTCATAATGACAGCTCAGATCCCGGCTACGAATCTATCCGCATCCCAAAAACTGGCAGCTCGGACGATGATCACGTAGGCGGGAACGCCAAGCCAGAACCTGACTACGAAAGTGTTGGAGAGCTGGGTCTGGATCGGGAAATGTCTCGCCTTTGAGTCGACTGCTTGAGGTTGCATCTTTATAGTAGCACTTTGAAGCAGCTTTTTAGGATGCCTTTGATGCAAACTGCTTCCATCATAAGTGTACATCTTCTTTACTGCTTCGGTACAGTTGATCATATTTGTCTATCAGAGTGAAAGCGGTACTGCAAGGCCTTAAGAACTCTGGATTATTAAATTATCCAATCTCAACATATTCTCTACACATGATCAGAAGAGATGAAAAGATATCAATCTAGTGCCATATAACTTGCGTATAAATCAGTCACTAACTGTATTATCTGTATGTCCTCTCTGCAGCATTTAGTCTGTCAAACTTTGAGTCATATTTTGTTTAAGCGCCGAAATGTGTCCTAGGTCTGCCTTTGTCAGGTTAGGAGCACCTTCACTGTGCATTCTCACTAGCTGTTCCTGTGAAGTAGTTTCTGATAGGAAAAGAAAAGAGGCATTTGACGACCAAACGGCGATGATATTTGGTCGCATACTCCATCAGTGACAGCTCCCTGCTTTTCTGGGCTTGATGTCTGAAAGATTGAAAAACCGTCACTGAGAAGGAAAAACAGGGTGATTTTTCACTCGAGCTTAGGGTTTCATTGTACATCTGGACTTTCCTTAAACGGATAGGGTTTTTGTACAAATCATATTTATTTGAAAATGTTTATTAATGTAATTGTGTAATCGTGAAATGTTTCTGATTGTGTCTGTGAGAGGATTTTTATTGAAGTTTCTGGCATTTTAATTGAAATTTGCTGAAAGCGCAAAGCGGGTTTGAAGCGTTTTAGGTACGTGTTCCTTTACTTTAAATGTAAGGATGTCAGTTTTCACAAACATTGAAGTACTTATGTGTTTGAATGACACTGCATACCTTATTGTATTGTTTATTAGCAACTTTTAATCTTCTCGGTACAGTCTTCACTTTGCTTCAAAGCACTTGAATTAGATTAATGGTACTGCAGACTTTATCACCTCATAGCAACCTTCCACATTTATTAGCATCTCTGTTAAAGATGTGCTCAAAGTCTTAAAAATGCATTCACTTTTATTTCACAATCTCACTTGAAGTATTTGCAAAAGAGCTTTAGTTAATCTATTTTTCCATTATAGTTTGCAACATAAATAGAATTCCTTTTAGTCTTGAAAAGCATTGAAATTTATCAATTTTTCTTACTGAGTATAATCCAACAAAGCTTTTTATTTCTAAAATGAACATATTCAATAACCTACAAGATAAAGAAAATGCCGCATACTTTATTTATTGTCATCCAGTAAATAAAAAAAAAGCTAATTAATCTTATGTTGGTATTAAGACCCTCTTAGACTAATAATTTTATATATTTTTAGTTGCTTAGATGCCATGGAACCACAGATCCAGCTTAATCACCAGACATTTGGTTCAGTTTTGATAGAAAGCTTAGAGGTTTAGCGATATCAAAGTATCCACCTTGATCAAAGGATAATTAACTGCAGATTTACAAGCAGTTATTTGAAGAGATTTTATAAAAAGGAGAGCTGATCCAAATTGGTCCATGTGCCAAAATGTGGTAAAATATCCCTTTACAACACCACATAATCTAGATTTGAGAATCAAACGGCTCATAAAACCCAACCAGGGAAATGTTTCCTAATCAAATGTCCAAAATGTTGATAAAAAATCCAAAAGAAATGTTTAAATATGAGCCTTAAGTGTAAAATCTTAAAACAAAATCCATAGAAAGCCTGTATAAACAAGAGGCCTCGTTTCACTTCCTCGTCCTTCCAGTAATGTTAAAAATATAAAAAGTTGATCTAACTGTAGATAAGGGATGATTTAGTCTTATTGCAATTATTTTCTGACACGTAAAAACATTTGGCTTATTTGAACTTCTTGTTCTCCTGTTTTTCCCCGAGTGCCTAAGAGAAATCAGCCTCTGTCTCACACCATTCTTCCCACAAGGAAATTTGTTTTCATTCTATTAGGAATATTACAGTTAAATTGATATTTTAAAACTCTTACACTTTAAGTAACACGTCTATATGCTGTGATCATTTAAAAAGTAAAATATTCATTAGAAACTTTTAGATTTTTTTTTTCTTGTAAACCTAATAACTTCCTTAACATGCGTTTTCCTTAATCTGATGAAAATTGAAACATCTTTTCATTTTTTTAGTCTTACACAATAAAAAGCTTAATTGTTAATTCTTTATACATGTCTTTAATATGGATGCTAATGAATCCAGAAGGTCTGTACCTGTAAAATTTTAGCACATAATGCATTTTAGATCCACCTATGTAACAGCTTATGCTGACGAAATGCCAGATGAGGCATGTATGTAGTTAGAGCACTCCTTTAACCGACTGCTATTCACAGGAAATGTGATGTAATCTTGTACTCAATTGTTCAATGTCCAGAGTAGTATGATTTTTTTATATTTTTAAGAAAAGTTCTGAATGTTCAACTTATTTTGTTGTATTTTCTTTAGTTAATTGTAACAAAGTAGTAACTAACAAAGCAGATGTGCGTCAGGTGGTACAATTATTTTGGTACAAGTGTTAAAAGATCATTTTGGTACATAAATATGGAAAAAAAAAACAACACAAACTCTTTAATATGTTTACCTGGTTGTGATTTTGCTGTATTTATAATTCTGTTTACTACAGTATCTTCTTTTGCAGATAAATATTGTCAGCTGTTTCCTTCCAAATCCGACTATTAAAGTGTTACATTATCTCCAGTCAGTTGCTCTCTTGAGACATCCTGAAGCTTATTTTTGTTGTTGGTTTTAGCTCATCCAGCCTGATTGTTGCCGGTAATCGATCTCTAAATGTATATTATTTCAAATATTGTTTCATCTCCCAGTGCACGACCTTTGAGGAAGTATTTTACATGCATTCCACTCCTGTTTTTTTTAAATATAAAGATAAGTAAGAAAATGCATATTTCTCTCATATAGTGAGTGTTTTTATAGTCTCCTTTCTGAAAAAAAAAAAAAAAACGAAAAATTTGAGAGTATTGCACCCGCTTGCAGCAATGTAGCCACATATCATGCAATTGGATTTAATGTTCTCAGAATGCTATTAAGGACCTCTGAGCAAATGCCAAAGGGAGATGTTGTAGTGCAAATCTAATCAGGACAACATACATTAAAAGACCTAAACTCCTTTCTCGTCTAGTCCTGGTCATATAAACACACAGATTCCCCTGATGGGAAGGAGAGGGGGACCCCCTCCTCCTGGTGCATCGTCTTTAGGCTTCTCTTTTCCAGTAATGAGGACCTTTGTTCCTGCTAAATAGGCAGCAGACAACCCTGTGGTGAGACCCGCCCTTGATCTAAGGGCCAGGCCCATTTCGCCAGTTAGTCACATCTGTTGCTGCGCGTTTCTTTTTTTTTGATCGCATTAATACTTCTCTGATATTAAACTGTGATTATGATTAAATATATGGTTTTCTTTGTATTATCTGGCTCTAAAATGTATTTTTTTATATATTTAGACACCTTTTGATGCCATTATTATATTAATAAACATTGGATAAGCTGATATCATAGTAGATACGAGTAATCAAACTAATGTCAACCTTCCAAACTTAACATCTAGTTTAATGCCTAGCTTTTAAAAGTTTTCACATTTCGGCATATGTCACTAAGCACACTTTAATGTATTTTATAGTTGTTGTTTTTTTATGTGTTAGACCAAAATAAAAAAGTGCATCATTTTGATGTGGAGAAATTACACATGGTGGCTCACATAAACATAAATACTGAGAATTAAGGCTGCTCTAGTCAATTCTGTATAAAAAATATATATATATATTTTGCGAGTATTACTCCTACACTACAGGTCTGACTTTTTCCCTATTCGCTCCAAATCTGCTCAAGCTTAGTCAACGTCATCAAAATCAAAATCTTAACATAGATATTTATATCTGAGCAGATCCATTCTAGCTTGTTTAAAGTCCTTTTCCTGCCATCCATCGGATCTCAAGTTTTGTTTTGATTTTTGCAGCCTCTAACAGGTTTTCCTCCATGATTGCCTTGTATTTAGCTCCATCCATCTTACCATGAACTCTGACAGACTTCCTTGTCCCCCGGTGAAGAGAAAGCATCCCAACAGCGTGACGCTATCACTATCATATTTCACCGTGGTAATGGTGTGTTCTGGGAGATGTGTGGCGTTAATCTTCCTTTGCACACAGCTTTGCGTGTAGGCCATAGGTTTAGATTTTGGTCTGTTCTCCTTTTCTTTTTTTTTTGACACCACTCCTCTATAGAAGCCAGATTTGTAGAGTGCATGACTAACAGATGTCCTGTCAGCATATTCTCTCACCAGAGCTGTGAATCTCTACTGTTCCTCTGGAGTAAACATGGACCTCTTTGCCGTCTCTCTGATTAATGCTCTTCTGCTGCTCAGTGTGGACCTTCATGTCTTGATCTGTCTGTAGATGTTCCAAACACTTTCTATTGTCAGGTATTGATCTGAACCATCACCATTAGGGGTTTAGTGTGAGATATTGTTTCATTTAATCCAGCCCAACTTAATTTATATAGCACTTTAAAAACCAACAGGATTGAAGTGCTGCACAAAGGCAAATAATAGAAACAATATTAAAAGCACTAAATATAATAAAAACAATATGAAAAATAAGTAAAAACTTTATAGAAAATAAAAGAAAAAACAAAATCAAGGAGCATGAACATCTCCTTGAGGGTTTAACATCAAAGAGAAAAGATTTCAATTCAATTCAGTTTATTTATATAGCGCCAATTCACAACACATGTCATCTCAAGGCACTTTACAGTTCACCAAAGTTTTCTATCTAAGGAAAACCAGTTGAGTGCATCGACTCATTGACTCAAATGCAATCCCGCACAATAAGCATGCTTGTAGCAACAGTGGAGAGGAAAAACTCCCTTTTAACAGGAATAAACCTCCAGCAGAACCAGGCTCAGTGTGAGCGGCCATCTGCCGAGGCCGACTGGGGTTCAAGGAGACAGAAGCAGAGATAGAAAAAACAACTATAAAAGGCGGCACAGTCAAGCAGATGAGCTCTGTCCCTAGCTCCCATGTCAGAGGATGAAGAGAGCACATCCAGCTAGTCACAGTCAGAGAAACAGGACTACACTGGAAAACAGGCCAATCTCCAACATCTAAAGATGAGAATTGGAAAGAGATTTAAAAATTGCAAAGTGGAAATCTGCCTGATATTTAGAAGCAAATTATTCCAGAGTTTGGAACCGAATACAGAGAAGGTCCTCTGTGAGCTTAGGCCTTGTTCTCGGTACTGACAAAAGTAGCTGATCAGCTGACCAAAGAGAACAAATCGAGGATAGGAGACCAGATATATATATATACGGTGGGCAAGGCCATTTTATAATCTAACCCTATGTCTAACTTTCATGCCCTTCATGATGCTATTTGCAGTCTAATCCTTTGCCCTCGGAATAACCCTTTACAGAACAACCAGATTTTTTTGTGTTAACGACACACAAAAAAAAAAGAAAATGAGAATCTCCAGATCGGGTTTTATTTTGTGGTATCAACTCGAAATCGGACTGAACATAAACACAGTCCACATTTTCCAGTTTCTGTTTGTAAAAGTGTCTCAAAGCCAAGCATCATTTTACTTTCAGATGATATTTTCTGTAAAAGATTTGTCATAGTGGGGCGTATAAATTGCACATTGCTTTTGTATTGCACTTTCTAAATGGATAAATAAACATAGCTGTTTGTGCTGAATCAACACCCTTTGGTATTTGTGCTTGTAAAAATAATTTAATAAAGTTTGATCACTTTGACGGGTCATCTCAGATTTAAGGGTTTCCTTCTTCAGGCCACACACTGAGAACTGGTCCATTATGCAGCATTTTTGTCTCACATTTAGCATCTTCTTTTTTCTACGAAATATTCCTAATTATCCTAGAATATTGATGTTAATCGGGCCATTTAAGGCTAATTACTAAATAAAAATAGCAATTTTAGAAATCAAGTCCTAATTTAGTGATTGAAAGCCAGGTTCAGTAAGGGTTTGTTTGGGGTTTGGGCTGTTTGTCATAGTGTAACCTGTACTTGACCAAAGTATGGAGATTTGTTATGATACATTCACATCAAATGTGCTTTTGTCTTTAGACTAAGGACATGGGAGAAAAAACCCCAAAACATTTTGGCTTCGTTTATCTAAGCAGTGAATTCAGACTCTCATAGTTAAAGGAAACTGACATGTATGCGAATACAACAATCTATTACTCACAAAGTACCAATAGTTGTTCTCAGATGTTTAGGTAATATCTCAATGTAAATCTAAACAAATTAACCATAATGAAAAATTAATAAGTTTAAGTAAACCAGAAATATTCCAGAGAGGGTGCAGTTCCATGCTTGAACACTATAAGGGATTTAATAATAATGCTATATATGTTAGCAGTACCTGTTAACAAATAAATATATAATACATGTTTTAATTCCACTTAAATGGCTCTTTGTGATACTAGCAGTTGTGATGATATTAGAATTAGTTTCTACCTGTTTATATTTTAAATGTAGATTTTATTTTTAAGGTGCACCTTAACAAGTTTTTTAATTTTTTGTTTGTAAAA